CTATTAATCTTAAAATTGACAATGAAAAAATAGAAATCATCACAACAATTAAATACCTTGGTTTTCATGACCATTTTAATTACATATTAAAAAAGATTTCTAAAAAATTAAATTTTTTTTCAAGAATATCAAAAAATTTGTCAATTTCAACTAAAGTTACAGTTTTTAATGCAATTATTCAACCTCACTTCGATTTTTGCTTGTCAGTTATTTTTCTCTTCAATTTAAATCAATCGGCCCAGTTGCAAAAATTACAAAATTGTGGAATGAGAATCATTCTTGGTGGAAACAGATATACACCTATAGCAATAATGCTTGGCATGCTGCAGTGGGTTTTAGTTCAACAAAGGGTCTTTTACCTTACTATGGTGTTCATTTATAAAATTCTAAATAATTTGCCCCTGCTTACTTTTGTGAGTTTATTACACGGAATTGTGATATTCACAATTATCCTACTCGAGGTAAATGCAATTTACGCATTGTGAAAACAAAAAGGACAGCTTCAAGAAACTCTTTGTTGTTTAAGGGTTTTGATCTTTTTAATAAGCTTCCTCAATAGTTTTATGTTATAAATTTTTTAATAAGTGTAGATACTATATTTTAAGTGTAATTGTTATTTTTATCTTATATATGAATGTTATAAATTGATTAATTTTGTATGTATTACGTTTTTTCCTATTTTTGAATAAAGAAACTTCTTCTTCAATAGATCCTAATGACACATACAAAAACAAATCATTTATAATTTTAGGCAAGCCTTTACAACTGGTATTTTGTAGTTATAAATAATAGTGTGCATTAACAGTTAAGTTAATATTGTTCTGAAGCTATTTTCTTGTGGCATTTTAAATTAATTACTATTTAACTGGGAATAAGCCACAATTAAAGATAAAAATATGATTTTATTGACGTTTCAATTTTCCACTTTGGAATTGAAACGTAAATAAACATATTTTTATCTTTAATTGTGGCTTATTCAAAGTTAAATAGTAATTAACAGTTAAGTTAGTCTATAAAACTGAATTCAATGTAATCATATTATATATCTACTGTGAAATGTGTAATCTTGTTTATGAGTGAACCTTGTTAATAACTTCATATTTGACTGAATATCTTTTTGTTCAACAAATCAACCAAACACATGTACATCAACTGGAAATGTGAGAATTGGTGTAAAATATATTATTAGCATTATATAACCACATTGGTCTCATTGGAACAAACTAGCAGGAAAAAATGTTTGCAATTATAGACTGTATATACCTTGTATAATAATTGAACACTGAACTCCAAAAAGGGCTATTCAAATTCTAATATGTACAAATGTTAAGACTTGTACATATTAGATTAAATGTATAGATTATAAAGATAAAACATCTGTTACACAGATAAACTTCTCAACAGATATCAAAACCATATTTATCAATTTTTGATTAGAAAAATAAAATTAATGAATGAAAATAATTGAAGTTAAAAATATTACATACTTTATGACTGATTCTAATTACATACAATATATTACATAAACAAAAAAACTTGCAGCTGGTAAAATTTACTATTTTATATTTGAGGATATTATTTAAAAACTGGATATATGATTATCATAGCAAAATATTTGAAAACTATCAGCATTACTTATTAAAAAATATAATGACTATACTTTCTTACATGTGTCAAAAGGGTAAAATTAGTGTGTTTCATAAAAAATACTAAGCAGTGCCACCACGTACCACAACTATTATAAGATGATCTTCCTTTATCGCTTCATCAGATAAATTAGGACAAGTACGTTTTAATAACTCTGTGGAGAACTGACAGGGAGGGAAGGAATAAAGGACCCCAGTAGCTTCAGTCTCTTTGTTGAGTAAGGAAATAACTCCAGCAGCTTCTTTTTGTTTTAAATATGATACTAAATTTCTCAAAGGTCTAGTTTGAACTGTAGCATCATCATTAGTCACTGATGCAGTGGAACCTGCTAGTCCCAAGAAAATAGCATGTGAACTAGCACTGGATATTCTCTTTTGAACATCTTCTAATTTCGGTTGATCCAGTCTCAGTCTTTGGGTGATTCGTAATTGGTGTTTACCATCTTCATCTTTCATTAGACTATCTACTATATCAGTGTCTCCATCAAATAAGTGGAATTTTGCAGGAAACAGTGAATTTTTTCAGTATTAAAGCTCCTTGCCATATAGTAGTGCATTTTCTAGCTACTTCTGGTAAAGTACGACTAGATGCTAGTAGACCTGCTCTACGAGAACCACCATCAGAATCTGAATCTGGAGATCTTCTTGGTGATCTAGACCTAGATCTATCAAATCCTCTTGATCCAGACCGTCTTCTTTCAAATTCAGGATCTCTGCTTCTACCCCACTCATCCTCTCTTCCTTCTGGGTACCTGTAAGGATCTCTACTGGCCCCTCTTTTTTCAGGATATGGTCTCATTCTATATGGATCCCTTTCATAATCATAATCATATTCTACTTCTCTAGCTCTATAATCTTCTGTAGAAGCATAAGGAGGTTTCGGTCTGTATGTAACTCCTGGTGTTACATCTGCAAAATCTGTTCTTAATCTTCTCTCTGGTCCACCCAGGGGAAAACCTCTCATCTCCTTCACAGCTGCTGTGGCAGCATCAATGCTATCGTAAAGAATAAGAGCCTGGTTATCACCTTTAACATAATCAATTTTCTTAATTGCACCAAATCTATCAAATTCTCTTTCTAATTGTGTTATAGATGTCCACGGTCCTAAACCACCAACCCATATTTTTGTAGTTGGAGTAGCTTTTCCATATCCAATTTTGCACTGAAATTTGCCAATATATTGACCAGATAATTCAACCTTGGCTCTATGAGCCATATCAAGAGTGTTAAATCTTACAAAAGCAAAGGCATTACCTGTTCCTGGTGGAGGTCTTTTAATATCAATATCTTCCACAACTCCATACCTACTAAAAATCCTTCTTAGTTCTTCTTCAGTAATATTTATTTCCAAATTACCAGCAAAAAGTGTGCGTGTGGCTAAAGGATCATCTTCAGGCTGTATATGGTGTAAATAATTGGGAAATTTATCCTTTTTATTCTCCTTCTGTTCAAATGGAGGACGAGGCATATGTTGTCTAGGAGGTCCATAACCGTGGACTGGAGCCATATGGGGAGGGCCATGGTGCATAGGAGGTCGGGCAAGGTAATCGTGGTGTGGTGCAGGCATTGCTTCACGTCTATATTCGCGATGGACTGGGACACCAGGCGGTGGCCCATATCCCCTATCATACCTATCTACAGGTCGCATTCTTTCAGGAGATCTAGCATAGTAATGTCTGTCATACTCAGGGCTTATTGAACGTGGTCGACTTCTGTAAATATCTGCTGATCGAGGAACCTCATAGACAGCTTCAACTAAAGCTATTTTATCATATATTATTATACGAGGTTTTGCATGTTTTGCATCACGAGCATCTTCAGGATTTCGGAAACAAACATATGCTACACGTTCATCCATATCATGAGTGACTCTAATACTAAGATCACCATATTTTTTATATTCTCTATATAAAGTGTCTTTGATAACCTCATCGCTGGCTTTGGGATGCAAAGCACTAACACATAAAACTTTATAAGGATACGAGCGCTCTGGTGGGCGCATATAGTCATCGCGATGGGGCGAAACGTATCTTGCCCGTGGACTAGGACTGCGTCCACGGCTTCCCCGCCGGCGAACTCTATCCGGAGTTATCCTTTCATCGGAGCTGTCGTCGTACCTTCCCATGCTAGAACGAGAACGTTTGCTACGTGGTGGAGTGTCCCTATCACTACTTCTTTTCATGTTATGAATTCTAACTGTTATTTTGTCCCTTCCAGAGGCGATCATACGCACTGCACACACCAATTAACTGACACAGTGGATGACACGGCACTCCTTTCCTAAAAACACAAGTAAAACACTGTTTTCATAATATTCCACCAAAATAACTACAATAAGATAAACAATAAATAAAAAAACATACTTTAAAACTACACAACACTGTGTAAAAGAGAGGTTTAACTTCTTTTATGTAAAATTTGTCTCTTCCATCACCTTTCAACGCCAACACAAAACAAAATGGCACCCCTTCTTTGTTGCCGGTCAAATGAAACGAATTAAAATGGGAGGGTCGATCTTATACGCAGAAGCGGAAATATGAAGCAATTTTTAGTAGCCAATAATTTTATAGCATACAATAAAAATAATATCGTAGATTGACGATATGATTTTGCAGCTATTTTTACTATTTTGGCATATTTCCAAATAAGAGATTACATGTAATTAATACTGTTTATCTGTATATTAAATAAATAATTAAATAACCATTTTCCCGTAAATTAACCGGAAATACATCATCACTATGAAAATTGTGAAGTCTCAACACTCACTTGTCAAGTTAAATGACAACAGACAGGGGAAAACTGAAACATGTTTTTATAAGGTTAAGTTTACATATTTTATTTTTCAAAATTTAAAAAATAAAAAATATAGTGAACATGGAATTGTTTGTGGTTAACAGGTAAAGTTATAATATTAGTAATTAGGATATTATTACAGTGAAAAAAATGTATTTTTAAGGCACGATGATGGACAGCAAGAAGAAATTCAAAATGAACAGGATAAATTAGAAAAGGTTCTTAAGAAGATTCAGAAAAACAAAAAGTTGCGTCAAAAACAGAAAGAAAAGATCTCTCAAATTAAACAAGCTAAACAACGAACTTTACAATCAAGAGAAATCAAACGAAAAATAAAGGCTTCTATTATAAATGTTCCTGATAATATAAATGATGATTTTCTAGATAAAACTGTGGAAAATTTAGTTATTACACAAAACAATGATAATATTGACGAATCAAAACACAAAAAACGTAAATTAGGACCAGAATCACTAGAAGGATTTACTGTTCTAGGTGCAGAAAATGTTGCAAATAAAGTTAAAGTAAGTAATATAACATTTTCAGTAAAGTACAATAGGAAACATTATAATATCCAAAGAAAACAAAGAAACATATCCATACAAATGATACTACTGTTTTAACCTACTTTTTTTTAGGTTATAGAGTTTCTGCCAATTTTAAACAGATAATTTACCAGCTTCATTAAATAGGTGGTCATTATATTAAGATGTAGTGTTATTTTCTAGTACTTTAAATTTAACACAATTTTGTGATCAGATAGCTGACTGCCAATTGCTGGACTTACTATACAATAATTCATATAAAAATATTTCCTCATGTTTTTACACTTTTTTAGGTAAAAAGAGTTCTTCCATCATGGCTATCAAATCCAACAGTTATATCAGTAAACTTACAAGACCTACAAACCAAAGTTTCTGATCTAAAACAATTAGACAAAGGTATTCGTAAATTACTCAAAGCCAATAATATACAATATTTCTTCCCTGTTCAAGCAGAAGTAATTCCATGGTTACTAGAAACTTCTAGACATTCTGATGTGATATTTCCTAGAGATATTTGTGTTTCAGCACCAACTGGAAGTGGTAAAACATTAGCGTATGTTTTACCTATTGTTCAAGCATTAAAAAAGTACACTATAAAGAAAATAAGAGCTTTGGTCATTTTACCTACACAAGATTTGGCTACTCAAGTGTTTAAAACATTTAAAACCTATTCCCAGGATACAAATATAGATGTGTGTTTAATAAGTGGAACTAACTCTTTTGCTGTAGAACAATCACAGTTGATCATTGACAGTAAGTATATTGATTATATATATTATAAGTAGACTAATCCCTGTAAAACATAGCACTTGATAAACTGTAGATGTAGAATGTTTATCATTAACACATTTCCGTCAGATTATATACTTTAACATACTGATTAGAGCACATAGCCAACAAATGTTTGCATTATGATCTATGAAGTGAAATTTTACCATATTTGGATTCGGTACGATATACAGGGTGATCAACTTTTAATGACAGTCTGTTAAATCTGTTATTATAGGAGAAACCAAGAAGTTATTTACAAAAATACAAAGAAGGTGTAAACTTCACATTTTAAAATTAGTTTCAAATATACAGTGTCTTTGGTAACACTCATCAAAGATATGTTTTTCTAAATGAAACAGGCTATATTTTATTTTAAATTTAAATTCTGCTTTACTTCCAAGAATGCAAAGTTTATTTGTGTTATATAGGACATTATTTAAAAGTTTAGTTATTTATTTATCAACAGGCAATCGCCCAATTAAAATACAATGTAAACATTATTGATAAATTACGGTTGATTCTTAACGTAACCTACTTAAATTTAAAAATTTTAATCATACAAAAAATAAAAGTTGGAACAGTACTTAACAACAAACATTAACGAAGAATGTACAAAACACAAGGACATCAAGCTATCACACACAGTTCTTAAGCTGAGCTTTAAATTCTTTTGGAATACTATAACAATCCAACCTTTGGGATTATTGATTAGCAAACGTTGGTGTTCTAAACCTGAAGGAATTGTGTCAGTAGTTTGTTTGATGGGGTCTAACATAAAAGGGTTGATTTAACCTTGTTTGTCTATTGGGAACATGGAGATTAATTTTTCCAATAGTTGAGGACTACAAATAATAGAGTGCAGTACACCACTCTTTAGTGTGCCAAAGATGCCAAACAGCTTTCATAGTCAACCATATAATAATAGAGTGTCCAGAGGACACTTCAGCCAAGAAGATTTCAGTCAAGAATTTCAGCCACTTCAGATACCCAAGTTACATGTACATTGTTCATATTATTGTAAGTCATGACTTTTAAAATGTATCTTATTTTTTCTATTTGTATCATACACCTACCGCTAATAACCCTAGTAGCTAATGTGGATAAAAAAAATCTAATACTTCTTTCCACAAATATATTATCTTATTGTGTAAAATAATATCAAGGACTTTTTAATCTTTCTCACTGTTTAACATGATTTTTTTACAGATAAAGCTTTCGGAGCTGTCAGTAAAATTGATATATTGGTATGCACAGCTGGAAGACTTGTAGATCACTTAAAAGTAACTAAAGGATTCAGTTTACGAAATTTGGAATTTTTAGTTATTGATGAGGCAGATAGAGTGCTTGAAAATGTTCAGAATGATTGGCTGTATCACTTGGAAAAACATATTTATCAAGAAGGTTAGTATATATGTATTTACAGTACTATATTCTAAACTTAACTTAAACTCATAACACGCTTATACAAATACTAATTCCCGAATCATCAGGAGTAGTCCAACTTTATTCTTTACCATGCGTATTCGTTACCAAAGCCAGGCTTCGTCGTACCTCGCTCAAGAAACTTTGAGAAGCTTCTGGTGTATGCGTCATCTTTCTGAGAATTTGACACATTATATGGTATAGGGGAAAGGAGGAGAATAGTGGTCGCCTAAGCATTTTGATTTATTTATATTGCTACATAGCTTTAAAAATTATACTGTTAATGTAAATAAAACTTCAAACCTTGTTACTTCAAACTCTATGAAAAATGAAATGAAAAAGACAGCAAATATTTGATTTCACGCAAACAGCGTCTATGCATCTGTTGATGCGTATTTCGACCTAATAGGTCTCATCAGAACAGTTATTCATAGGCGTTCTCAACGTGAAAAATCAATATTTTCTGTCTTTTAAGAAGCAACACTAAAATGGCTTCGATATGGACGCAATAGCGACATCTGATAATAAATCCTACAAATTTAACAAATGGGTACCAATTATGCAGATAAATAAACTTAATTACATACTTCTACATACTTTAAAATCTTACACTAATACATCAACTTCAACAAAATATGACATTTAAAAAATTCCTTCTTTGCCGGCAAAACATCGTCATTGTTTTAGGCTCAGTTTGAACGATACACTGTTAGATGACGCAACAGGTATTAAACGCGAAATAATATTAGACCGTAAATGTAAATTTTATAAGTATAAATTATTTAATGAATTTTTGATAAGGCTTTGTGTTGTATATTAAATATTTGCATGTATTTTCAGCAACCAATGGACAAGCGAGAAAAGTTCTCAATCTGTTTACATTAGAACAAGCACGTCCTCCCCAGAAACTTCTATTCTCAGCCACATTGTCACAAGATCCGGAAAAATTACAGAAACTTTCCCTATTTCAGCCTAAATTATTTACTTCAATCGTAGAATCGGAAAATGCAGAAGCTGTCCCTACTCCCGTTGTAGATACCTTTATAGGAAAGTACACAACTCCGAAAGAATTAACTGAAAAATACGTTGTTACAAGTGCAGAATTGAAGCCGCTGTTTTTGTACGAACTAATCAAATTGGAAAAATTGACGAAAACTATTGTCTTTACACATTCTGTTGAAAGTGCGCATAGGCTAGCAATTTTATTAAGATCTCTATTTAAAGAGGAATTAAAGGTCGATGAAATATCTTCTAATCTACAAGGAAAGAACAGATCAAAACTTATTGAAAAGTTTGCAGCAGGTGAAATTGATTTGTAAGTATGATTGTACAAACATCAAACTTTTTTAAATATTATATATTCCGATTGGTTCAACATTGTAATCATTTGTTTAACCCATTTGCGTCCTACTTATAGATCACTGATTTTTTTTTAATCCTAAAAATTTGATTAAATTGAAAGAAACATTCTTCTTCTCTAGTTCCATGACCGTTATCGATCGTTGGATATCATGTTGGCTACCATATTGGCTATCGTGACTTTATTGACAGCACCTCTAAATAACGATGTAGTTGATTTTGCATACCACTGCCTTAGATTTTTCAGCCATGATGTTCTTCTTCTACCAGGACCACGATTACCTTGGATCTTTCCCTGAATGATCAGATGTAAAAGATCATATTTTTCAGGGTATCTCATAATGTGACTGAAGTATTCCAGCTTGAGTTTCTTTATTATATTGACCAGTTGTTTGGTTCAGCCGTCTAGGACTTAGCATTTTATTAAGATCTCTATTTTAAAGAGGAATTAAAGGTCGATGCAATATCTTCTAATCCTACAAGGAAAGAGTACAGATCAAAACTTATTGAAAAGTTTGCAGCAGGTGAAATTGATTTGTAAGTATGATTGTACAAACATCAAACTTTTTTAAATATTATATATTCCGATTGGTTCAACATTGTAATCATTTGTTTAAACCCATTTGCGTCCTACTTATAGATCACTGATTTTTTTTTAATCCTAAAAATTTGATTAAATTGAAAGAAACATTCTTCTTCTTCTAGTTCCATGACCGTTATCGATCGTTGGATATCATGTTGGCTACCATATTGGCTATCGTGACTTTATTGACAGCACCTCTAAATAACGATGTAGTTGATTTTGCATACCATTGCCTTAGATTTTTCAGCCATGATGTTCTTCTTCTACCAGACCACGATTACCTTGGATCTTTCCTGAATGATCAGATGTAAAAGATCATATTTTTCAGGGTATCTCATAATGTGACTGAAGTATTCCAGCTTGAGTTTCTTTATTATATTGACCAGTTGTTTGGTTCAGCCGTCTAGGGACCTCCTCATTTCTAACTCTGTCGACCCAGCACATTTTCAGTAGTCGTCTGTATACCCACATCTCAAAGGCTGTCAAGCGTTTAAGAATAGCCTCAGTTGGAGTCCGTCGAATTTTGTCATCAATCTATTGGTTAAAATTTTTGTTAGGAGTTTATACATTACATTGAAGAGTGTTATTGGACGGTAGTTTTTTATATCTGCTTTATCCCCTTTCTTGTGTAGGATAATGGTTACTGATTCCTTCCAGTTGTTTGGGATTCTTTAAGTTTTATATTACTGATCTATAAATAGGATATTTATATCTTATTAGATAGAATCTTTAGCGTTATGAAAATGGACAGTATTTTAGTATGGAGTACCTAGTGTTTCAAAGTGTTTATCATTTTTAGATTAGTATGTACAGATGCCCTGGCTAGAGGTATAGACCTTCCTCACATACAATGTGTTATTTCTTATTCTGCCCCCAAATACCTCAAGACATACATTCATCGTGCTGGTAGAACTGCTAGAGCTGGTGAACCTGGTTTGGCTGTCGCCTTATTAAATAAACCACAAGTCTCAAAGTTTAAGTCCATGTTGAATCAAGCAAATCATACGAACATTCAAGAGGTAAGTTAGTTTGATTACATCAAAATTGGAAACAAAATCTTTTTAACATAATCTACTATAGTCCAAATTCAATAGGATTGTCAGGGTATCGCTTTAAAATGATAGACACTGGATGAGCATGAAACGAGTGTTAGACTTAATTTGAAGGTTATGTTTTTTTTTGCGCTACCTCATTTTTTATATGTGCCCATATCAGCTCGATATGATTCAATTCACAATGATACGGTGGGGTTTTAATACGGTGATGTTATGCTCACGTGCCATTTCGTCTACTGCAAATCTGATGTAGGAAGTCTTATTTTTGCTTCCTAGCCAATCTACTATATCTGCCTTTAGAGATGCAGAAGTTGGTATTTTTTTCATACGACGACTGTGATAAGGTGCATTGTCCATTATAATTACCGATTCAGGTTCTACGAGAGTTAGTATAGAGGAAAACCATTTTTCAAACACATCCGAATCCATATCCTCATGATAATCGCCCGTTTTGATAGAGGTAAAGGCATTTAAACCATCTTGTAAGAAATCTGAATCACTTCCTATGTGCGTAATAATGACGCGTCTTCCTTTGTCCGAAGGTGCTTTTAACTGGTTGAAAGTCCCTCATTAAAAGCCTGTCGTGAACTTCTAATATTTAAGTCTTGCCATACTTTGGATTTCGTATGACCCTCATTCAATCACGTCTCATCCATATATTAAATTTTTTTGCCAAAAGGTCTAAAATCACGAATTTTTTGTAAATATCTCCGCCATATCACTAGTTCGTCTCAGTCGATTAACAAACTTTTTTCTTTACATACCGAAAACCCATTTCACGGAATCCTCTTTGTAATACCCGCACATAGATATTTTATTTAAAGTATCATCTGCGTCTGCATTAATTTCTCGTGAAATAGCCTTTAACGCGGACATTTCGTTCCTAAAATAAAATCCATGAACTGTTGTTCGGATTACTTATTTCGTAATAATCGTCCAATACAATTCCTGTATGTCTTTTATGAATAGGTTTTTGAAGTGGTTTATTACCTTGAATGATTCGAAAAACCGTACGAACCGATATTTTCGTTAAATCAGAATACAATGCTCTAATCCCTCATAAACCGATTTAATCATTTGTTTTTCTTTCACAGATAACTACATCCTTTTTTCCGGTTTATTAATATATGTACTGCACGTTAATATTGACGTCATGTTACCTGACTGTGCGCTCATGTAATACTTCTGACTACCTGATTTTAATATTTATTTCCACTATTTGCCAGCGAGTTTTAACAATGTTGCCGTATTGCAATAAGAATATTACTTTCGAAAAGGATAACAGTGTCCGCCTGTCCCTCTCTTGACTTTCAGGTATACCTCAACGACACTGATAAGCTGCACTTGGTACTAAATAATAAATTTCGCAACAAGGCGAGTATACTTTATCTAGTTCGGACTTATAGCAGATGTAACCGGCAAAAATGATAATTGAGAAGAAAATTTGTATGCTAATAAAGAAATAAATATATAGCCGCTTATTATAGTGTTTACGAATTACAAAATGTCTGCACTGACAATCCTATTGAATTCAGGGTACCTATAGTTATTTTTTACCCATCAAAATTTAATTGTACTTGGTGTTGCCCTGGTGTAGACCAAGACTGACCGTGCAAGATTTACGCAAGAACAAGACCAAGCCTGCGAGACTCTTGTGTCTTGTAGTTAGAACTGAGTGTCGTTTTAGCGAGTATAGTAGTTTGGGTATATACTTAAAGAATCGATGAGACGCAAAAAAATATGTAATAAAAATTTGAAAAACTGGTCTTATGCGCGTTACGAATAATATCATAAACATACATACCGAATAAAAATATTTTGTACATTCTTTTCCAGTATACTACTTCTTCGATCTGAAATTAATTGTCCAGAAATGTCCTCTAATCATAAAATAATCTTGCATTGCGACGCCGACAGTAATATGGTATCGAATTTTTTAAAAATATGTACCTTAGCTAATAAAAAATATAACACTTAATTATAACAATTATAATTTAGTTAGGAGGAATCTAAATAAACAAATCTTATCGGCCTAAGACTAAACAACATTTCTGCTGAGTGTGCGATGAGATCATTCAGTTAAACAAAATTTGCTGAAAGAGTGCGACTAATAACAAAAGTAACGAGACAAATTAATAACAGATAATGTCGTCTACCGTGTAAACAAAATACCGAAATATTTAGAATAACGAAGTAACGATATATAATTCTCGGTTTGTTATAAGATACTTAGGGTATTAAATAGTAAGGGACATTTATAGTAGTAGTTACTTTTTCGACATCACTAAACTTCATTTTACAAGTTTACAAATTGACATGAGGGACATTCAAATAGTGTTAGTCAGAGTAGTGAGCGTTGGAATTATAGATCTAAAAGACCTACAAGCAAATTTGATGAGTTTTTCGAAATAAAAACAAAAACACGTCAGGTTTAAGTATCTTTTCACAAAAAGGAATTACAAATATGTCTTCCCAAAAAACCAAAATTCTGATTCCTAAAAAAATGTACCTACTACTTTATTTTGGTAAATTAATGTATTTATTAAGTAGATATCTCCTTAATTTAAAATAACTTCTGTTGATTATTTTTTTACCTATTCTTTATTTTCTCAAGTTAGTTTTTTATATAACATTTATGTTACTTTAATAAGTGGATTATAGTTTATGTTATCACCTAAAGAATCTGTGCCCTTGATACATGTATGTGGATTTTTTGCCACAACCAATCTTTTTTAAGATTTCCATTTCATATATGGTGGGGGTCCATCAATCCCTTTCTAGACAGATAATGTTCTTTAAAATACAATCAAGTTTATGTCACTAATTTGTTTTTTTTTTGTGTTTTAACCATGTTTGATTGACTTCCGTGGGGATGGTAGATAGCTGAGTTAGTTAGAGCATAGGCACGGATCGCTTAAATCTTGGCTTCAAACCCCCTAGTAACGTTTAATAAATAGCAATAGGCTAATGGGTAACTGCAAGACTCTTGCTGCAAGACCAAGACCGGAAGTGCAATACCAAGACCAGGTGTATTTGCGCAAGACCAAGACCAGGTGTATTGGCGCAAGACCAAGATCTCGTCTTTTTCTTGCATTTGGGCAACACTAATTGTACTGTAGATTGGTAATACTCACTCCATTTTATATAATTTTTTTTTAACTTATTTCGCTTACTTTTGCAGCTTGTTATTCCTGAAGATAATTTGGAACCTCTTGGCGAAAAGTACAAAGATTCTTTACAAGAATTGAAAAACGTCGTAGAAAATGAAGAAAAACTAGATTTGGAAAAGACATTGAGTGCTAAACGAACGAAGAAAATTAAGCGAAAAAGGAATAACTCAGTTACTAGTAATATTAGTAAATAAAGACATATTTTTCAATTATTTTTTGTTTTTTATATTGCCTCCTAAATTCCTCAATACCGAGTAATTGCCGGTATAAGCGATCTCCCACTTGCTGACCAACGGCTTCGGGCGGATGGTTGGTAAGTGGTAGGACACTCTTTTGTCCTGGAGTTGAGAAATCCGCTTCGAAGACGGAGGAACTATTAAGTAGTCAACGACATAAGGATGTGTAAAGCCACGGGATGACTACCACATTATATATCCTTAGTAAAACCATCATGACGAGTAGGTGATTTAAAGATGATATGCCATGCGACACGATTAGCAACCGGCGTCGACTGATAAAGAGTAAGAACTCTTTATCAGTCTGGAAAACTAAACACAAATAATGAAATGAAGAGGTTCAAAATTGATATTCTGGGGATGAGTGAAATAAGATGGAGAGGTAATGGTAAGTGCGAGAAGGATGCAACAATATTTTTTTCAGGCAGCGGAGAAGATATCAACCATAGGCATGGAGAACTCCAATGTAGGAAAAGGAGAAGTCAGTGACTACAGTGAAATACAGTTTTGCCAGGAGAAAAATTAATTATCACTAATACTTGTTTTAAGTTACTATTAAGAAGATTGTACACTTGGAGGTCACCACAGGACAGGACTGGGTACATCGTTAGAAATCAGATAGACTTTATAACAATTAACAAACGATTTCGTAACGCAATAATATCAGCCAAAACATATCCTGAAACTGATATAAACTCTGATCATAATCCTCTTGTAGTCCAATTACGAGTTAGACTAAAAACCTTAATCCAGAAACAGAATAACAAAAGATTAGATGAAATAAATAAATAAAGTAAATAATTTGGCCCCTGCTTACTTTTGTGAGTTTATTACACGGAATTGTGATATTCACAATTACCCTACTCTACACTACACTCTACCCTATTCTACACTACCTGAGGTAAGAGTAATTTACACATTGTGAAAACAAAAAGGACGGCTTTAAAACTATATATTGTACATAAATAAAGATTCATATTCTAAGGTTAAGATTTAAAGTTAATGTAACTAGAAAAGCAAAATGTACAAAACAGTACTATACTATTTTGGTAATTGTACCTTCATCTATTTTAGCAATGTTTATTAAATATATAAAAAATTGATGTACACTGTCATTGTCTTCTATTTTTGAGATAAAATCAATTATGAATAAAGTTGGGCACATAACGGTTTCTTAATATTGTAAGCTATTTTCTTGTAGCATTTTAAATTAATTAATATTTAACTGGGAATAAACGTATTTTTACCTTTAATTGTGGCTTATTCCCAGTTAAATAGTAATTAAAACAATTATATTATTTTTCTATGGATAAAATGTTTTTGACACCATTTGCAAAACACAGTACTAAAAGTTTATTTTATAAAAAAGTCATTTATTCTTAATTTTAATAATATTTCATTATTATAGATTTTCATGGACATGGACATATATTTTTCATAATAAATAAAAAAACTAAAATTGTATTCAATCCACTATAGCACTAACCTAACCTAACCAGGTTAGGTTAGGTTAGTGCTATAGTGGACTGAATACAATTTTAGTTTTTTTATTTATTTTGAAAAATATATGTAACCAGGTTAGGTTAGGTTAGGTTAGTGCTATAGTGGATTGAATACAATTTTAGTTTTTTTATTTATTTTGAAAAATATATGTCCATGTTGCCACATTTTTTTGTATAAAGTATAGGAGTTTTTAAAATATGTATAAAGATAATTTGACGAAATTATAAATATTTTGTTATGAGAAGCCACAATTTTTGAATTCATATGAAAAAGCATTCATAAAATATTATTTTTACTTTAAATGTAGCTAAATATTGTAAATTGATATATTTGTCAATTATTTCAACGAAGTATCTCTAAATTTTCAGAATTTAAAATCAATACTCCTTTTATTATATAGAAGATTTATTGAAAGTTTTGAAAATTTCCTTCTACACTCTGGATATTTTGTATAATTACTCTGAGTCTTTTTTATATATAATTGACTGTATTTTATACTTATTCAAAGAATCTGACAACCTAGGTACTATGTGCATATTTTTCATTTTTGAATCTGATACTATTATTAAATCAATAGCACCAATATCTCTTGAAAAAGGTTAATTAATCCATTTTTTAATTAGCAAAATTATGAAAATATTGAATACCTAAACTAAGTAAATGAAAATATGTATACACCTACTTTTATATTCATTTATTAACAACTATTTACAATATTTTCTCAGAATACAGATCACTGTTCGGTTATTTAATCTTAACCTTCTTAATGCTTTTTTATGTAATTCAACCAGGTCAGTTTACATAATATCATAATACTTATATCATGTTTAGAAAATAGTAAAAATGTATCACGTTATTCCTTGGTTATCGACCTACTTCCAATTCCAAAAGAAAATAAATATCTACATTTAAACGGGTTTCGTTTCGTTAAGGGTTCATTTTCTTCATGTTACAGTGGAATGGCAAGTCCACACGTAGTCAAATTTATATTTTTGTTAATTTTTGTAGGTCTATTTTACTGGTAAATTAGTTTTAACATTTTGCACAAACACTTTTTCCAGATCATTGTGTTTAATCCTTTCAGTTATAATGTTCCTCTATATTGACACCTTTGTTGCATTCTAAAATCATTTTTCAAACGACCTGTTCGAGAAAACGGCTTAAAACAAATGTCACACTTGAGTATTGTTTTCAGCGTGCACTAACAAATGTCTTCTCAAATGACTTCTTTGGTTAAACTGCTTAAAACAAATTTCGCACTTATAAGGTTTTTCTCCAGTGTGGACTCTCAAATGTTTTTTCAAAGTACCTGCTTCTCTAAACTGCTTAAAACAAATTTCACACTTGTAAGGTTTTTCTCCAGTGTGGATTCTCAAATGTTTTTTCAAAGTACCTGCATCTCTAAACTGCTTAAAACAAATTTCACAGTTATACGGTTTTTCTCCAGTGTGCACTCTCAAATGTCTTTGCAATTTACTTGCTTCTCCAAACTGCTTAAAACAAATTTCACACTTGTAATGTTTTTCTCCAGTGTGAACTATCAAATGTTCTTTCAAATGGCCTGTTCTTGCAAACTGCTTAAAACAAATTTCACAATTATAAGGTTTTTCTCTAGTGTGCACCATCACATGTTTTTTTAAATCACCTGCTGCCCTAAACTGTTTAAAACAAGTTTCACACTTATAAGGTTTTTCTCTAGTGTGCACTATCATATGTTTTTTTAAATTACCTGCTGCCCTAAACTGTTTAAAAGCAGATTTCACACTTATAAGATTTTTCTCCAGTGTGCACTTTTTCTCCGGTGTGCAGTTTACTATGTGTTTTCAAATCACACATTTGACTAAACTGCTTAAAACAAATTTCGCACTTGTAAGGTTGAGTTTGAGCTTTTATACTGTTATTTATAGTTTTTTCATCTGCATGATGTCCTTTATGGGATGCATGTTCACAAGATAATTCCATAATCTTAATTTTCTTCTCCTCATGAGTAACACCTAAAATATAAACCAACTATAAACATTTACTACAGAAGAACAATGGATGCAGATAGAATAATAAATAATGTAAAGCATATCAAATGCCAGGCAGCAAAAGTCTAGCCAATAATATAATAAATATGTTTAGGCATCTGAGTTTCTGTCTTGTACATGCCTAAGACACTGCTTTCTTTTAAACAAGCCTTTGGCAACAGAAGAAAAAGCAAAAACGATCATAGAGACAAAATGAAAAGACAAAAACAAAAGAGAATAGTCCAATGACGAGTGTAATGAGGCCATAAAGAACAGAAATCAAGAAATATATAGTAAGAAGAACAAGAGAAAGAAGAGCAATCTAGGAAGATGCAAGATGGAAATGCTTTATGGATGAAATGTGGATTGCAGCTATATTCGACATGTACCTAACATTTAG